CTTATTGTGACTCAGATTGGGGATCATGTCCAATGAAAAGAAAATTTGTGACTGGTTTTTGTATTAAGATTGGTGATTCACTGGTTTCATAGAAATCAAAGAAACAGAATGTTGTAGCTAGATCTTCAGTAGAAGTTGAGTATAGAGCTATGGCAGTTGTCACATCAGAGCTGGTATGGTTGCAAGGCTTACTTGCAGAACTTAGCATGAAGGGCTGGAAACTTGTAAAACTTTACTGTGACAATAGAGCTGCACTTCTAATAGCTGCTAATCCTGTGTATCACGAAAGGACAAAACACATTGAAATCGACTATCATTTCGTGAGTGAAAAAATACAGGAGGGGATGATTCAAACAGAACATGTTTCAACACACGAACAGCTTACAAACATCATGACCAAGGCTTTGGGAAGTCAGCAGCACAATTATTTGTTATCCAAGTTAGGAGTTGAAGATGTTTTTCAACATCCAACTTGAGGGGGAGTGTTGAGTTTGTAATCAGTTTTTCTATTATAAATTAGTTAGAAGCAGTTTTAAGTTAGTTGGGTGGTTAGTTTGAAAAGTTGTATAAATAGAGGAACAGATTGGAAGTTATCATTATTGAATATATGAGAAGTAATTTTTTCCATTTTCCTATTATACTTTAACATTTAATAATGTTTCTTGTATTTACACAATTAAAAAACACAAAAAAAAACAACACAAATCGGATTATCAAAGTGCACGGTGAAGAACAATCACATGCCTAAATAAGTAGAAAAAAATAAAGGAGACAGAGATACTTATAAACCCAATTTGTCTGAAATGGAATCAAAGTAACAGAAGAGTGAAGCTGAGGAAAGGTTAAAGACATTGCGGCATAAGCGAGCAAGCAAGCGAATCTCATCGGCAAAATCACAACACTGCAGATTCTACTTCCCAAGTAATCGGCGAGCTCGTTGATTCGCACCCTGCACACGGATATTTAGAACATCCACATCATCTTGGACTCCATCCAGAGCTTTGGTTTGCCTGCAATCAGGGTTTAATCGGGTTCATTTTTTAATGGATTTGTAATTGAGTACAGCTCGAGCTGTAAGAAGATTAAGCATGCTTAAGATTCGAAGTTCAAAGTTTGGCTTATGGTAAAAATACTAGGATATTCGAGTTGACTCGTTCGATTGCTCAAGTTGCGAGTTGTGAGCACATGTTTATTTACGATTAGCTCAAGTCTAACTGAAGAATTCGATGACAAAATGAGGGTTCAAAGACCATTTTATGAATATCAACAAGAAACTAACCTCTCGATTTCGGATCCCATATCAACGGCCATGACCTTCAATTCTCCCAGTAGATCGCTTAAATCAGAGAGTGCATCATCTTGCTTTGCCTTTTCAAACTGTTTAAAAAATCCCAAGAAGAAGAAAAGAAATAAATTGCACATTCCATAAAAGAATCAGATTTCAGACTAATGAATTGTTTTGTGCCTTTATCTCGTACCTCAACTTTCTGAAATGCATCCGTTGACTCAGGGGGTGGTTCGAGATTTCAAACGACCCCTCGGAACTGCATTCAATCCCAGTTTCTCCCTCTGCTCCAAGTGGCCGCCAATACTCTTTGGCAAATCATCTGCGGACCAAGTAAATTACACAAGCAGTTCAGGATTTGGGGCAACAAAAACACCACCAACTTCTATTTACAAGAAATCGTGCAATTGGACGCTTATAATGAGGGAAAATGAAGAGATGATTCATGGAGGTCTACGGGAAGAAAATGTACCTCTTGTTATAACAGGGCCAACTATTGGACGAGTTCTCTTCGGCTTCCAGGTTCTAGAGAACATGCCTCCAAGACTTCCCAAGAGCTTCTCGCCCTGAAATCCAAAAGAACTACCATTAAGAGTGTCTCTTTAATTCCATAAGATCAATCCTAAGAGGAAAAGTAAAAGGGTTATTGATTCTTTGAACAAATTCGAAGTTAAGTAGTCAATCAATCCTGTGTATCACTTTCAGTTTATGTTGCTTGGACTCAAGGGTGAGTATTGGATACAAGTACTTCAGAGAAAATGAAGAGTCCGAGTGCAATAAAACTTTCAATCAACAATTATATTTACTTCCAGCACTTGTGCTCTAAAGTTATGCTATCAGAAAGTCAATGGCCCGAAAATCTGAGCAGTGTCAAGTAGGTTTCCTATGAAGTACTGTATTCAACATGGAGGATTCCCGGGTTTCAGAACAGGAAGGCATGGATATCTCATAGCAAGATCATGATTTCTGGGGAAACACCATCCGTTCAATCCAATAAAATTCTAAACTCAAACCTCATAATCGATTTAATTTAGGTGACTCCTTAGGATCAATAAGGTAGCAATATGATCAAACCTGGATATCGTGTTTGTTAAAACATAAACTGTAAGAGAGAAAAAATTTCATGTTTTCAGATTCTATTTGCAGTTCTTCAATCATGCAAAGTTTTGCTTTTAAAAACAAACGACGTACCCGACTAAGGTCATGATCAATGCCAGCAGCCACATTATGAGTTCGTGTAATTTGTTCACCCTGTTGATGCAAGGTGATCAAAGTATTGGTGGCACCTTCTCTCATTTCTTCAGCAATCTTCAAACAGCTGTCAACAGTCTTTGTAGTCGTCTCGGCCTTGTAGACGGCATAGTTCTCCAATTCTTGCACCGATTGGTTCTCAAGCCCACCAGAGTCACGGAAATCGTTCTTATACTTGTTTCGTGATGCCGAAGATTGCCAATACGAAGAGGACGAAGAATTCACTCTCCCTCCATCATCGTCAAAAGGATTGGTCCCGAAATTTGGAGGACTAGGTTCGGAAGAAGTCCTTCTAGAAGGTTTAAGCGTTTGCTTATTGTCAAACTCATCATCAGATCAAAAGGGTTTGAATGAGAAGCGGAAACACGGGCAGGATCAACTGAATTACGCTTAGCAGTCTTCAATGGAGATTTCTTTAAACCCAACATTTTTCTTAATGAATCACTTGATCAGACAGTTGATAGGAAGAAAGAAGCAGAATACTATCTGCAAAGCAATCAACAGTTACACTTCAGATCAAGGCAGCAAGGGACTCAGAAGGTTAAAAGCAACAAAAAGATAACTAGAATTAGAACTAGATCATCAATCGCATACCAAGTAGCAAAATAAGTTGTGTGAATTTAGAAAAAAAAATCACGACCACGGTACCCGCAACGACAACAATAGCATCCCTTCTATCCACAACTATGATAAACCCAAAGCAACAAAAAACACAGTCATAATCATAATTTAAATCCCTGGTTTATGTGTAATATAGCTTGAAAGGAATTCAAAAGGCTAAAAGCAACAAAAAGAGAACCAGAATTAGAATTAGGTCATCAATCGCATACTAGCATGATCAGAAACAAGAACACCCCATAAACATGAGAAGAAAGGGTAAAAACAAATTCTAAATTTATCATCAGAGACTAGTAAAGAATTAGTTGACTTGGGAATTTTTCATTTCTTCATAAAAAAGAGAAAGATTCCTTCAGTTTTCACGGATGGAAAACAAGCATAGAACCAAATAACAAACCCATGAAGTAAACACCTTCATCTATCATTCAAGATATCAATCAAGCTGATCAAAAAATCCAAAACAATATACATAAAAATTACCAAAACTCGTTAATATGTTGCAAGAAAAAGAGAGAATAAAATCTGGGTTTTGTTCCAAGTTGGATTTTGATTCACGAACAAGAAAGAAAATTCAAAACAATCCGTATGCAGAAATTAAGGCAAAAATGAAGGAAACAACAAAGATGGAACCTTGGGATGTACCTTGGGGAATGAAAATGAAGAAAAAAATACAACTGAATTTAACGACAAATGAAGTTCAAAAACACAAATCTTAGAGAAAAAGAAAAGTCTCTTAATGGGTTTGTCACAAAATGAAGAGCTTTAAAGAGAAGGGAGGGAAGGTGGACGCATTAAACGCGTCAAAAAATCCAAAGAGAAAGTCTTGAAAGAAGAAAGAGGCCAATTCCAAATTGTAATAAATATGTATTATTTTAAATTCCCGTTTCTATTTTAAATTTCAAAAATAAAAAATACATACTTTCCCTCTCAATATGTCAATAATTCACAATATCTCTTTACTGAAAATTTTCATTTTTTTGTTGAACAAATCAACAGGAGATTTGATAATAAGCAGCTTTAGCCTCCCATTTTGACCAGAACCAATCCCACCACTTTCTATTTAATTTATTGTTATATTGATTATCTGATAATTAATATATGATAGATAATAAAAATGAACAATGCAACATTATATATACAAGTTAAAAAAGTTCGTCACTCCAAGTTCACATTACAATTAATAAGTGGATTAATTTTTTCAGTCTTTTAAAAGGATAATTGAATTCTGGTAAACCAAAATAAATAGGTTAATTTCTTCATTTTTGTAAAGTAAAGATATGAAAATTTTCAATAAAATATTATAAAATTTGTTGATTTTTTTCACATAAACATAGAGTTAATGGGCGAATTTGCTGTCATAGTATATCTATATGTATATTTAAATATGTAATTATACTTTATCTCAATTGATACTTGTTATTGTACTTTGAAGATATAGACAAATTTATGACTTTTGAAAAATAAAATATTACAAAACTTATTGAGATTTTCTTTTACATGAACACAGGGTTACTTTACTATATTAAAATAAAGAGATTTTATCATAAATATAGTTATGTTATTAAAATACTGATATCTAATACGAGTATAGATACAAATTCGAATACAAGAAAAATAAAAACTTCAAAACAAAACCATAACAATACTAACATTCCGATCCGACAACCACTCTTTATGTTTTTTTATTTTACATTACATTAAGGGGTGACTTTGTTTGTGCTGATAAGCATTCATATAGATTTAGGTAACTTCGGAAATATAATTATAAACATTATATTCGGATACGTGCCGGTATGTATATAGTAAAATCCGATAAAATTCGAGAAAAGTCGAATAATATTGTCGTAAGAGCATACGCATGTCCCACGATCACCAAAATCGTAACAAATCGAAATATACATTTCATTGAAAACTCAAGATTTGGACATAAAAACCAATTTCCAGCTTCTGTGCAATACAAACCAACTTGGCTAAATTCAGTGCTTGATCTTACAAAAACCATAATATGGGGGAGAAACGTTACCATGTCCATTGTCCAGCACAGTTTTGGCCAGATCTGGATGCAGTGTGTTTTCTTTGAATGTAATCCCAAAACATAACTTTTCATTGCTGAAATTTGTAAAGGAAAATGAAGAACATCGACGAAAATCCGAAGCTTTGGACCCTCACAACACAACCGTCTGCAACAAGACAAGCAACAAACTACTGCATAATTACGATTACTTGAAAAAAAAATCGTTAGTATGTTATAGAACAGTATTTCTACCTTGACATATTTGGCTACCTTGTACTGCCATATGTCCTTGGAACCTTCATCATGCAAATCATATACGCCTTCCCGCAGGTTAATCATCAAAAGCCGATTCTGTTGGAACACAGCATGAGAAAGTCAGTTATGACTACTATCAGGGAAAAGAATACAAGTACACTGCAGAAATTAGGAGAGAACTAAATTTACATGCATTTTATGAGCAATAAGCAACTGAACTTGCAAATTAACTGGTGACATTAAACACAAAACCAAATCAAAACACGTGATTAACGCATGATGAGTGTCTGTTAAATAGCAGTACTAGACTTTTGCAGCACTGTTTAAGAATAGTGAACTGTATTAAATTTTAACCGTGTTTGCACCGGAAAAAACAAAGAAAGAGATTCAGGAAAGTAGGAACCTCTGAGTTAGTTCTGAATCAATGGACATCAGCAATCATTAGCAAAGCCAATCTCTATGATTCTGGAAGACGTCTAACTACAGCCAATGAATTTTGGGGCTCTTTTTCAATCTTAACCCCCCAAAAACCCAAAGGTAAACAATACTAACCATCAGAAATCGAAGTTAAATACCTTACGGGTAATAAAATGGATCAACTACCAAAACAGTATTACCTGTGCCTCCAACTCAGCTATTCTCTGTAAAGATGCTTGTTCAATACTTGCACGGCGATTGCACTCTTCTTCAAGCATCCCCGTCATCTGGTACCTTAGCTCAGTCATTTCTTGTACAAGATCCTCAGCTTCTTCTTTTGCTTTTAACTTTTGCTCTCTCAGTTCTTCCTGGTAACCATTTTCAAGATCAGAAATATTGCAGACAAAATTCACATTTCACCTTGTTGAGCTTACATAATATCATAACGGTAAATATAACTTCTTAAGATGACAAATTTTACCTTAAGTTGCTTCACCAAGAGTTCATATTCATTTATCTGGTGTGACATGTTTTTTATCTGCTCCTTCGAGTTGGAATCAGATTCCAGAACTAATGCCACTTCCGAAAGGAGTGCACCAAAGAGTTCTTTGCAGCCACTTCAACAATATTTATAAAACGTTCATAAAAAATTATCAGATAGGTACCAAATGGTAAAATATAGAACATCACCTATCAATTTTAAGAGACAAAACTGAATAAAGCGCTTTATACAAGGAAGTGCTTCAACAAGATCCGAACCCACCTCAACAAGATCATACACGTCAACCTATAAAATATATATTTTCAAATAATACAGGACAAAGGCATGTATAACATGTTTAAGTGTCGAATAAAAGCTCTCATTTCACATACTATCACACATTCAGACAATGCAGTTGATCAGTCAACATAACCATGTAACTTAATCAGAAAAATATAACGAATTTGATGTCGCAGCTAACCTTGTATCTTTTGATATTGTAATAACGCTTTCTGGTTCACCGTAGATAGAATTCGTATCGAATTGTGTTCTGTCCTTTCTTTTGAGCCATTGCTTGATCTTTTGACAGAATATGTTAGCATTATTTTCAAATGCAGTGAGCTTTCCTCGCAGCGCTTTATTTTCGTTCTCCAGTTCTTCAATAATTTCCTGTGCATTCTGAAGCTGGACCTCAAATTCTTCAATTAAAAGATTCATCTGGGATTTTTCTTGAACATTTTCTTCCTCCAACTTCCTAGCTTCAAGATACATTTGCTCCATGGCCGTTATATCAAGTTTTAAGCTTTCTATTTCACACTGGGACTCCAATGCCGTAGATGAAACCGAATCCTCCAACTTCTCTATGCACAAAGCCGATTGTTGCAGCTCTTCTTCTTTGTTCTCTAATTCCTGCATTAGTAACAACCGATCGGAGTTTGACCTGTTCAACTCTCCTATCAATCGACCAATTTTCTCCCGTAAATCCCCCATGTCAGCCAATTTGATCCCAAGGTCATGCACATGGTCATTTAGAAATTTGACCTCTTCGTTCCTTGCACTTAGTTGATCCTGCAGGTAATCTAAAGAATGCAACCATAACATTAAGGCTTTGCGTGTCAAGGTAGAAAGTAAATCGAAAAGATGGAAATTTGATGGAATAGAAAGAAAGGTAGAAAGATAGAAAATGTTTTTTTTCCTTCTTTCCATTAGTTTTCTTGGTAGGAAAGATGGAAAATGGAAAGAAAAAGTAACTTTCTTTCCCTTCAATGCTTGGTAGAGTTAATAAATAAGAGGAATTAAAAAAACGTAAAACTTTGTCCACTTAACTTACATATCTAACATTTTCTCTCCTCTTTTTAGTCCAAATTGGAATGAACAGTTTTAATTCATGGGGATGAAAATGATCATCTTTTCTAGTCTCTTTTCCCTAATTTTTCTTTCCTACCAAGTACACTCAAAACTGATTTTCTTCCCACATTTCCACTCAACCAAGCATTTCTCAAGATCAAAGAAACTGTACTTGAGTTTAGTATGTAAGGCAGCATACAATATCCAACCCCTTTTTCTGAGTTTTTTTCCTTCAAGGGAATGGATAGTTCCTAATGTAAATTAAGAGGTACAAGAAATGCTCCGCCAGCAAGGGATTTTCAAGCCGGTAAGGAGCATCGCACCACAGATGTTATAGACTTAGTATTCGATGCATAGTCCAATTATTGAAAGGAACTAATTCTAATACCACACACAATGATGCCTACGTATCATAACAGTGAACTAAAAGAACGCTAAACATTCAACATGGAATCGATTGGTTATAAGAAGAGAGGCCCAACTTGAATATAAATCCACAAGAAACCCGAGACATAACAAATGTGGATGACACCTCTTAAACACTCCCTCTCACAAGTAGTTAACATATAATGCATATAATTACTGCAAGAGCACAAAATTTAGTTTAAAACATAGAATGTTTGGACTAATAGGCTAAAGAAACCCTGACAAGACACACTGATACGGAATTTTAATAACCATGGTCAAAGAAAAATAAATTACTACGATTATAACAATCAGACAAATGATAGAAAAAGAAAAGATTGGTGATAATGGTGAGTTTTTAACTTTTTATCATATTTCCAAGTAAGCTAAGTCAAAGAATTAGGATAAGTTGAACTTGCAGCATGTTTTAAAGAACAAAGAGAAATGCATATTTTACAAGCGGAACAGCAACATGAAGCATGGGAGTTATTATCAGATGACGATGGTTTACTTCCAAGGTAAAATGGTTAAATGCACAAAGAACTAACACCCTCGGCAATATTTGGAAGAAAATAAAGAATCATTACCTATTTCTTGAGAGCAATTTTTAAGCTCTCTTTCCAACTTTTGAATAAGTTTTTGGTCTTGCAAACTAGCTTCCGATAGTGACTTCACATGTAGCTCAAGTCCCTAGAGTGAATCAACTCACAATCAGACAATAATGAAAACTTAAACATCTAAATCTCAATATCTACCTTTCTTGTTTGGGTTTGAAGGATGAAGAATTCAAAATTGCGGCATTATTTCTATTATTTTTCCCAATTACTGTAGTTCAATAACCAAGCAAAGAATGGGGACCTTTTCAACGCCAAGGGTAGTCTCTTCAGAATGCCTGCTTATTAATCCTAGGAGATGGTCAAGGCTAAACCGAAGAACAAGTTAACCGGCCCTTCGAGTTACTTGAGAAATAGGCTATCTCATGTCAAATTTCAATTGTGCTACTAAAAAGGCTAAAAAATATAGATAGAATAATGAAAATTTACGAAGCAAGAAGTTATTACTAAAGTTCTGACTTTCAGTATAGATCGCAATGGAAGACTTCAGCATGCTAAGCTGCTTATTGTTACCATACTACACAATAGGCTATTTAGTTCACAGTATATATATAGCTCCATAAATCAAAAAGGTGTTATGGAAAATAACATAAAGATGAGGGATGTTTCACATAGCATGTTCCAGATGACAGAATTACCAATGCCTAGGAAAATTACCCGGATTAGTTCAAAGCCCTGATTTTGTGATTCTTTCAACATCTGTTTTTCTTTGCGTAACTGCATTGAAAAGGATAAGTGGATAAATAAAATTTCAGCAAAAACAGATTACATTCACGATTGATAACAAACTAACATCATCATAAGAACCTATGCTACTCAAACTTGCGATTTTCGACATGGGTCAGTTCATTTTTTCTAAGTTTTCCCATGTATTTGGAGGGTCCTTAGAGGATGAAACTCATATCCCAATATACATACTGTTGGATAAGGGTTCGTGCTCAACACAGATATGTTCATTTTTCCCAAGTGTTTGGAGGGTAATACTCATATCCCCATATCCATGTCTAAATATGTGCCGTGCACCAATACTTCAAGCAAAATGAAGGCTCAGAGCAACTTAGATAAGAACAAATAAAGTGAATGTCTGAATAAGAACAACACCAAACCACCTTCAAAAGCTCAAATATTTGAAGGTTAAAACCATCCATCCCCCCCCCCCCCCAAAAAAATCAAATAACAGTAAGAAACTGAAGGCTCTCATCTAACAAACTGAAACAAAACTAAAACTTGGAGCAACATAGATGACAACAAATACAGTGAAGGGGGGCTGAATAAACATCACAAGCAACCTTCAAAAGCTCAAATATTTGAAGGATAAAACCATTAAAGGACAATGTTTCTTAGTTATTGCCAAAAGGAAAAAAAAATACTCTACCTCTCTGCATCTTGTTTCAATCTCCGAGAGTTCCTCAACATCAATGGACTTGTCTCCAGATCCCCTTGAGCTACTTGACATTTGTAGTAAAATCCTCCAAAATTTCTTAAACCCCGAGTATAAAATTTTGCTGAAAATACAAAAAAAAAAAAGAACACAAACCATCAGGATATAGATAATTTTAATAGGCTGCATTCGCAACAGAAATGTCGGGAAAATATAAAAAGGATTCAAATTTATCAATTAAAACAAACTATAAACACTCAAAAAGTAGGGAAAATTCATGGTTTATATTATATACCTACATTAAGTGTAGAAACAGAAGAACCCAATTTGATTTCACGAAATTGGAATCATAAATCAAGCATAGAAGGCCTAAAGAGATCAGCCCCCAACCCCAAAGAATAAATAGGAGGGAACTTTACAAATAATACAACAATAAAAAGCAAAACAAAAATGGAATGGGAAAGTTTTAACCTTCTTGTTTAGGGTGATTTTATTATGCGACGTTTAAAAAACGGTTAAAAAATGGTGTATTCGGTTAAAATATAGATCAGTTATGTTATATCATTTAACCGGAAATATTATCAAGCACAATAACATATTAGGTAACGCTTATATAATGTAATAGGTAGCACTTATATAATAAAATAAGCATTTAACCGGTATATTTATACCGGTAGCATTGTAAATTTACCTATTGTATTATAATTATTAGTTTCGTTGTTTTTTGGTTCGATACAATTTTAAATGTATCGACACTTTATACTTGCACCTCGTTGGGCATTCCTAATTCATTCTGGAAAAAAGTATCGACACAAACTATAAAGGTGTCGATACATTATTTAGACCTATTTTCTCATAAAATCGGTATATTTATATCGGGTACATTGTAAATTTACCTATAACATTGTAATTTTCGTTTCGATGTTTTTAGGATCGATACAATTTTAAATGTATCGACACGTAATTTTTGCACCTCGTTGGGCATTTATTATGGACAAAATATATCGACACAAATTACACAAGTGTCGATACTTTATTCTGACTTATTCTCTCATAAAACCTATAAATTTAAACCGGTTACATTGTAAATTGACTTATTACATTATAATTATCGGTTTCGATGTTTTTGTGATCCATGGGATTTTAAATGTATCGACACTTTATGCGTGAACCTGTTTGTGCTTTCTTTTGGAAAAAAGTATCGACACAAACTTAAAAAGTGTCGATACTTTATGTTGACCTGTTTTATAATTAACCGGTATATGTATACTGGTTACATTGTTAATTTAAATATTACATTATAATTATTTGTTTCGATATTTTTGGGGTCGATACTTTTTGAAAATGTATCGACACATATTCTTACATATGTATCGAAACAAATCTTTGTGTTTACTAATTTTGTCATTAAAAAAGTATATTTTTACCACCTACATTGTAAATTTACCTATTACTTTAAAGTTATTGAATGTTGTAGTTATTGTACATACCTGAATATGTCATGCAAATTTAATATTGTACACACCCTCCAACTACCACTACCAATACCACATCTTATTGAAAGCACCACTAAAAATATGTTGTTCAATGAACCTTTACTTACATCTCCATCAACTCCTGTTGGGACCACTGAAATTGCACAACAAAATTTTTGCTATGGATCATATTGATGCAAACAATGTTAACCCAACCGATGAATGCCATGAAGTACATAATGTTGATGAATCTGACATATTGGTTGGTAAGCTATTCTCTTCATGTGATCAAGCTTGGTACTTTTACAAGGGATTCGCACAAGAACATGGGTTTAGTGCACGTCGGGGAACAACACGGCTTGACATGGAAGGAATGTGAAGACACAGAATTTTGTTGTTCGAAAGAAGGGTTTCGAGAATCAAAAGTCAATATCGTTGATCGTCAACGTGCTCATACGTCAATCACAAGAACAAGATGCAAGGCTAGAGTCATAGTTACAACAACAAATACAAACGATCAGTGGGTTATAAGTAAGTCTTATCAGAAACATATTCATGCGTTGTGCACACCTACTATGACACCATTTATACGTTCTAATAGAGCTGTAAGTAAGGCTAATATCGATGAGGCAACAACATTGAAATAGGTCGGTGTTGGCACGTCACAAGTAATAAACTATTTAACGCAGCAGGCAGGGGGCTATCATAATGTTGGATTTACACATAAAGACCTCAACAATGCACTTCAAAGAGGTAAAGCAAAGGAAATCATCGATGGGGATGTGAATGCGCTTATTGCTTACTTTGATTATAAGAAACATGATGATCCTGAGTTTTTGTGTGACATAATCGGTAGACGAATCAGGGGCGTTGCATAATCTTATTTGGTCAGATTCTACATCGAGATCAGATTACATATGCTTCGGTGATGTAATTACGTTCGACACAACGTACAAAGATAATTTGTATGGTCGACCAATTATGCCTATTGTCGGTGTCAATCATCACCATAACACAATTGTGTTTGCTACTGCCATAATCGCTGACGAGACGTCCCAATATTTTGAGTGGGTGCTACATAATTTTTTAGAAGCCATGATGAACAAATCGCCTATTTCAGTTGTCACCGATGGGGATAGCGCAATGCAGAGGGCTATCAAATCTGTTATCCCTAATGCTAAGCACAGATTATGTTATTGGCATCTTTCTCGCAATGCACAAGCTAACATTGGTGACCCAAAATTTACAGCAGCATTCTCAAAATGCATGGCTTCTTGGTGGACAACCGACAAATTTGATATTCAATGGCGTTCAGTTGTTTCAGAATTCAACGTCGAAAAGCATCCATGGGTGATTGAGAAGGGAAATACTCGGCACTTATGTGCACAAGCATATCTAACAGGTCATTTCTTTGCTAATATTCGCTCAACACAAAGGTGCGAGTCTATGAATGCTTCACTCGCAATTGCACTGAAACACAAGAAGACTTATTTAGATGTTGTTCATGCAATTGAAGATGGAATTAGTAGAATGCGTCTGAACGAGTTGAAAGCGGATTACTTAAGTTCCCAGACGAAGCCCTTCCAGATCACAAAACTGGTTGAATTTGAAAGTCATGCTTCTGAGATTTTTACGCACAAATCTTTTCATGCGTTCCAAGAAGAACTTCAACGGGAGACATTGTACCGGATTCAGGAAGAGATTCAGTCCTTATCAGATGAATGTCAATATTTTTATTTGAAAAAGTACAAAGAAAAAAATAGGACATTTGAAATTAGTTTTGATTCTCGTACGAAAACTCTAAATTGCTCATGCAGAAAATTCAAGACCATTGGACTTTCATGTCGCCATCAAATTCATGTTTTGAAGCACTTGGATTACACATATTTGCCCGGGTATTTGATTCAAAGTAGGTGGACTAAGGATGCGAAGGCTTCTGTACCCAGTTTTGTTGATTTGAATGTGCCTCAAGAAATAATGCAAATGGCAAGGTTTGCTTCTCTACGTGCAAACGCAAGTATGTTATGCTACTCTGCATCAAAGACAGATGTGTCTTTCAAAATCACAAGAGATGAGATGAAAAGACTAACAGAAGAATTTGAGAACTCGTTTGGTTTGAATGATTCAGTCAATCGAAGCAGTGTATTAAACAACGTTCGCGACCCTCAACGGAAACAAAGCAAGCGAAAAGAAGTAACAAAGAACAAGGTCGAGAAGAAGATTAGGCGATGTGGGTTCTGCAACGGTGAGGGACATAACAAACTAACATGTCCTCAAGTCAAGCTGGGTTTGAATACAAGCACGCAGTCTACTTCAACTGATTTTTTTTAAGACGGAATGGAATGGTTATGAACCTCCAGCACATGATGTTAGAGATATTTGGTTATAATTATGTTTTTCGATGTTTTTGGGATCGACAATTGTTATACATGTATCGAAACTTTGTTGTGCACTTGGTTTTTAAATATAGTCTGGACAAAAATGTATCGAAACTTGATGTATTTGTGTCGATACTTCATGTATATATGTTTTCTCATAAACCGGTACATTTAGACGGTTACATTGTTAATTTACCTATTACATTATAATTATAGTTTTCGATGTTTTTGGGATCGACACTTGTTATAAATGTATCGACACTTTTTAGTGCACTTGGTTTTGAAATACATTATGGAAAAAAAGTATCACACTTGTTATATTTGTGTCGATACTTTTTGAACACTGTTTTCTCAAAAACCGGTATATTTAGACCGTTTACATGAATAATTTATTTATTACATTATAATTATGTTTTTCGATATTTTCGGGATTGACATTTGTTTTAAATGTATTGACACTTTTACGTGCACTTGGTTCTGAAATACATTCTGGACCAAAAGTATCTACACTTGTTCTATTTGTGTCGATACTGTCTATACACTGTTTTCTCAAAAACCGGTATATTTAGACCGGTTATATTGCTAATTTACCTATTACATTATAATTATGGTTTTGATGTTTTGGGATCGACACTTGTTATATATGTATCGACACTTTTTAGTGCACTTGGTTTTGAAATACAGTCTGGAGAAAAAGTATCGACACTTGTTAGATTTGTGTCGATACTTTTTGTACACCTGTTTTCTCAAAAATTGGTATATTTAGACCTTTTACATGAATAATTTACCTATTACATTATAATTATGTTTTTCGATGTTTTCGGGATCGACACTTGTTTTATTTGTATCGATACATTTTGTACACATGTTTTCTCAAAAACCCGTATATTTGAAAAAGGTAAGTAAGTGTTACCTTAGAAATACATTATGGACAAATTCATTATGCACATTATCACTAATGTTGATATTTGAAAAAGGTAAGTTGTTACCTTAGAAATGGAATTTCATGTTTTCTCCCGATGCATCCATTGAGTAAGTTATTTTTAGGATGGATGAAATTTCAGTTTAGAACTAAAATTTACATTTAAATTCAAACTCTAATTATAAATGAAATGTCATGTTAAATTGAACATGTAAATTGCATAATTGATTCATAATGTGTAATCAAACGAAAACATGCATACACAATAAATTTATAGATAACAATGTTCAAATAATGTACCTACAACGAAATTAATCCGATGGAAAAGGGTTACCGCTAACGAAGTCCAGAACATTAGGCGCCTTCAACAAAATTTCCAAATACTCGCGTATTTTACAACCTTTTGCTGAGGACATAAATAAATAATTTCAATTATCAAAATAATCAGGTGCAATTTTACTAACAAGAAACTAATTTTTTTTGATAAGGAACAATAAACTAAATGAGCATAATCAGGAATAAATTTGTGTCATACTTAGAGCATCGTCGTCCGAATGAGAAGCAGCGTCGAAAGAATGTGGACATATGTAATTGTTTATCTAATAAAAAACATAAATTGTTAATCAATCAATCTATGAACAA